TAAGTACTTAGAGAATCTCCCGTCAAAGGGCATTTAAAGGAAAAAAAGGAAGAGAAAAAAAGTATCATTTTCAAATTAATGTATAAACTAAACCAGCTGTCCAGCCACAGAAGCCCTGCAAAAAGACATCCTTTGATCGACAAATCCATGTCATCCATGAAATTGCTCTTTTGCCCCAAATGCTTGTAGGGCTAATATAGTTCAGGGGATTAAGCAAGACTGGTTTAGAAATTGCTTCTTATCCTGTGTTTGGTGATAACCCTAGTATCTCAATTAAAGCTTCTATGCCACATATGTAGGATAAAACAATCCCCCAGGAAATAATTTTCACGGGAACATATGGAATCCAGTTTTTTGTTTCTAATTTTTCAATGAGACGAGACTGTAGGAGTGGCTTTATGTACCTTGTACCATTATGCTAAAATTTACTCAGAAAATGTTGCATCAGAAGAAGTTTGTTTGAGGTAAAACATTTGGTCAGATCCATCCGAAAGTTGGTTTGCAAGGACCAATATCTTTTGGTATTATCCTTTTTTTGTCTGAGATAGAACATAAGCAAGCCTTACCACCATGTATAAAAGTACAGATCAGGCCACCTAAGTTTCACACTTTCTCTGATAATATTACAGCTTTCAGATGATGTCTGCTCCTCATTTACATAGTTAATCAATTAAACATCACTCCCAATCTGCCTATATGTAGCCCATGCAATTTCTGCTGATCACTTGGTTTTGGCAGTCTTCAAATGCATTACAATTAAACATGCCTCGAGAAACAGATTCTTGTGCTACATTTTGAACACATGAGAGATTGCTTCCCATAAAAATAAATAGGAGAAATACCTTTTCAATGCATTCAGTATGTCTTCCATTAGAGGACGACTCCTCAAATCATACTCAAAACAACCACTAATGATATTCTGAACAGCAGGAGGAAGACCAGCAGGAATATGTGGTTTTTCTTGCCTTCTCACAACAGACCTGTAAATTTCATCAACTGATTTACCACTCCAAGGTTGCACACCAGTCAACATCTCCACGATGCTGCATGCAAATCCCCATGAGTCAGTCTCAAATGATATTGGACCTCTAACTTCTGGCTGCCACTGCTCAGGTGCCATGTAGTTTGGAGTACCAAGTCTTCGAGTCATCTCCAAACTCAGCAATGGAATTCCAAGCAGTACATAAGGAATTCCAACATCGCCTAGTATAGCATGGTTATTTTCGTTCAGTAGAAAATTGAAAGGTTTAAGGTTGAGAATTAGGATCTCTTTTGAATGCAGCTCCATTAATCCATGTGCCAGATCAGTTCCATACCTGTGCAATAACAACAAAAACACATGACAATTTCTATTTGACAGGTTATCAGTTATCAAAGGGAAAGAAGCCCATAACAGCTGACTTTTGCACATAATACCAAGTATATGTCACCTTAAAACATCATGCAGTGAGAGCTTTCCACCCTTACGGCGGGACATCTTATCACCAATCGAGCCTTCATAGAACTTCATAACAATGCATAACTGGAAGAACACGTGTAGATTATCAGTAAATTCAGAAAAACTTCTGGCCACTAACTCTAAACTGGAACATCAATATTACCTTTCCACTTATCATGGAGAGACCTTGCATCCTACAAACAGATTCTAATTCTTGACACTTGGAGAACAAATCATCCAACCTACGCAATACAACATTAATGGCATCTTCTTTTATAGGATGCAGCATCTTAACAGCAACCTCATGATACTCTTCATATTCTTCAGTTGCTTGATGTCGAGTTGCTAACCAAACGTCACCAAAGGGACCCCTTCCAATTCTATGTCGAAGCTTAATCTTTGAAGGATCAATCCATGGGCTAATCTGATTGGATGATGCAACGACAGTTGTGAGTTGATCAGAATCATCTCCAACAAGCTCAAAGTCAAAGGATGATGTCACTTGACTAGCAGCAATCTTTCCAGCCATCCCCTATAACCAACAAATATATATATATATATCTCTTTCAGCTGATATTGAACCCAAAATTCTGGTTCTTTTCCTCCTCATGTACAAAACAAAAGTAAGATCCATATGAGGTAAGAGAAACGAGTAAAAATGAGATAAAAGAAAAGCAAAAATATCCAAAAACTCCTTAACTGTATTCACTATTCAGACAGAGTGACAGACCCACTAACAGGGGTTTGTTTCATTCATTCTAAATGCAGGTAAGGCTTCATACCAGTTCATGACATGGGTACCGTCAAACTGACATTTTTACTAGTAAAAGTTAACAGATGCTGAAATTTCGATTGTTTTGATTTTCTTTAGCAGTGGGTAGCATAGCTCATCTATTGCAATGATTTGTTTCAGCTATCAAGCTCAAAGTTCTAAATCCAAGCCACAACTTGACTGCTAATGGAGGCAACAAATCACGATCACAAAATCCTCTTTGTTTACGCCTTTAAAAAAAATCAAACAGATGGTTCACACCTCATAATTTTAACCCTACAACGAAAATAAATATCAAGACTAAAAATATCAACTTCTCATCAAGTTAAAAACAAGAAGGAAAAAAACTCCCCAGAAACCATAACAAACTAACAACTTTATACTGTTTACCAAAAGCCTGTGATTAAAGTTCGTTCCTTTTCACAATCATCCTCAGCAACGTACATCAAGTCACAAATTAGCCAAAAAAAAAAAACACATACAAGGCTTACTTGTACAGTGAAGTAGTAGAATTTGCAACTGAAAATGAAGGGGCGAAAGGTGAAATTTCGACGAATTAAGTGAAGGGTTGAGAAAGCATCAGCCAAGAATGATCACAGCATCATCTGGGGCTGTGAAAAGAACAAAACCCAAAAAGAAAAAAAGGTCCCCAATGTTAATAAATATTCTACTAAAGAAAAAAAAAATTATTCTGACTAAAGAGAGAGAGGAGAAACGAGAAATAAAGAGACCTATTGTTTGAGTGCCCAAGTTAGAGAGTATAAATATCACCATCAGTATATTTTTAAAATGAGTAGAATTTGTTAAAGAAATTAGTTAAGTCCTCATTAGTAGGACTACAATTTAGAAGAAGAAGAGGAAGAAGAAGAAGAACAAGAAAAATTAGGAAACGTGTGAAGGCGTCACCTTTGGGAAGGGGAGTGTATTGGTGTCACCACCAGAGTTATGCTGTTTCGGACCGTATACGTCGTTTATACTCTTAGAACTACATTACTTTCTTGTATTTATACTTATGCTATTTTTCTTTTTCACTCCCAACAAATTTTCTTTGCAGAGAAAACATCCAACTAGATAGTTTATTGTCAAGAAAAATAAAAAACTAAGTAGTTTTCTTTGGTCCCCTTAACATTTGTCTCACATGCTAGGTCCTTGTCGAACTTGACAAATTTTGAGTATTCCTTCGAATATTCAAATCTTTTATATTTGTTCTGAATTCTTTGTATTTTAAGAAGCGAAGAAGTAAAAAGAAAATTTAAATTCAAAACCTCTAATTCTTTGAATTTCGAGATATTATAACTTAATATTGTACAAATTATACTGCATAAAAATTAAATAAACCAAAGTGAATTATTAGCTGCGAAGTGTGACAAAAAAAAAAAACAACGAGGTTAGCGATATTATTGATAAGATAAGCAAAGTAGTACCAAAAAAAAAAATGGTACTATATGTCTTTGACCTTGAAATAGTGAATGGTTGCAAATTGAATTGGGTATTTTGGCAATTCATATGATTTCCTTCTTTGTCGGTAAAAATAATTTGCCGTAACTGAATAATAATTAATTCCTTGACATATAACAAAAAAAAGGGCGTCTGAATTTTTTGTACGTGCATGCATAAATGGAACAACATAAATTGCATCAAAGTCTTAAACAAAAAATGTGACAAGAAAATATTAAGAGAGTGAGCTAAACTAGTGGTGAAGTTAAAGAAACATGATAAGATTTGAAGGGCGTAAAAGTAAATAGAAACTGAAAGTTCAGACCAACTGGCCCAGTTAGTTTTTACCGTTCTGCTGGCTAGATTTTGCCAATGAAATAAATTAAAAGCTGGCATTGGGTGGAGGACTGCACATAGAGCTCGAACCGAGTATCTGAGCTCTGTTCGTTAAGCGATTTGAACAACGTTCGTGTTCGTTTGTTAATTTTCGAACTCCAAACCTGTGTTTGTATTCGGAACATTAAGTAATGTTTATGTTCGAGATCGAGTTCGTGTTCGGTTCGTTTTATGTTAAACGAGCCGTTCACGAACATGTTTGAAATGTTCGAATCCAAATTATTTTAAGCCTTAAATATACTATACAAATCATTAATCATTCTAAAAAATAATTAAAACACTAAGTGACTAAATTCTATTATTCATTAACTATATAACTAATATTAACATAAAAATAACAAATTATACCCTCCAAATATAAAAGTCTAGCCATAAAATTAACCCTAAAATTTGTCAAATGATAATAATGCCCATGTTCGCGAACGTTCGATAAAACTCGCGAACATGCTCGTATTTGCTCGATTATTAATCGAACAAAAAAATTCGTTCGTACTCGATTCGTTTAAGGTTTCGAACGAGTCTTTTACGAACACGAACGTGTCAAAATGAACCGAGCTACCGAACAATTCGATTCGTTTAACAGCTCTAACTTCACAGTAAATTACATTGTGTTTCTTGCAATAGCTAATTCTTTCAATAAAAAAAAAAAAGCAAATTCTAGTCACCGATGCTATCCACATATTTATTTATTTTTTAAATAAATGTTTGTTTCTGCTTTTTTCCTAGTAGAGGAAGGATGAGATTTAAGAAACGAGGAGAAGAAATGATAATCTGAATTCAGGAGCTGGGGTCTCGACCATAACTAATAAATTTAGGCCTTCTCAGCCACTGATCTTCAATACCTAAACGAATAAACCAGTTTTGCTTCTACGTAGAGGGGAACAGAGCAAACATGCATTTCAGAGTACACACTACTAAGTCACTAATGGACAAAAGTAGATAATGGTATTGATTTGCATTAAGTGGTGACAAAATCTAGACAGCTGAATCAAGAAATTCATGTTGTTCATGATGATTCAGATCAATCGCACGCCAAGTTAAACTAAATGCAGAAAGCTAATGAAGCTGAAGAAATGGGACAGCATTAATAATATGATATGCAGGCAGGAAACTGGAAGAGAGCCACCAGAACAAATGCTGAAGAAGTGTGTATTATCCCCAGGAGACACCAAAATTCATAAAGTTGAAAGTCCATCCATTCATAAGCAATCAATGAAAAGGGAGGAATTGTGGACAATCTCATCACTGAGAGAACCAGTCTGAGAATCAAGAGCCTTGACAATGGTGTCTACCTTCTGCTCTTGAAAAATTAGCCAAGGCCTTCTTCAACTCTTAGTTTAGTTTTACTTTCTTCTACCTCAGCCAGCTTTTGCTATACTCGCAGCTGAATCTCTTCCTTGCTGAGGCCTTAAATCTGATTTTCTCGACAGCTGATTGACAATTGGATCCTCTTCATTGTTCAAAACAATCCCACAAGATCAGACGAAAAGCACAAAGCTACAAGATAAGGAGGAAAAAAAGTTAATTGACGATTTCTGGGCTTTTAGATTTTTCCTAGGTAATAGTACAAAGTGCTTCTTGTAAATTTTGCAGTATTAACTGGTATTTTCAGTTAGTAGCTTCATTAGAGTTAAAGACCAATATGGTAACTCAGGGAAAACTTGATCATCCTGTTAAGTGGTTTGAATTGAATATACAAGCTGAGAGTTCGAACTAACAAACATAATAATAGCTACCCAAATAACATCACTAGGAAACTAGGACGCGGATAACTGAACAATTTCTTGTACACCATTGAGTGTTGGATAAATGACATTGTAACTGGACCTGCACTAGATGGACAATAGTAGTTTCTAGTTTATTATAATTGCAGTATAAGATCATACAACTTGACTTGAGGATTACTTACAGAGACAGTAAGTGGAGGACGCAAGCTGTGGCTGATACAGCTGCATGCTACTGCCTGAACTGGGGGTGTCGACACCATCCATCCTCATCATCCCAAATGAATATCTCAGGGATGTGAGTTATCCTTTGGTAATCTTCAAATGGATTCTTCAGAAATGCATCCAATCTTTCATTGGGATGACACAGATATAGAGATTGGAGATTGGTCAAGTGCTGGATCCCCCGAGGGAACTCCTCCAGGAATTTAAGGTTCGCCATTCCTAGTTCTAGGAGATTAGGCATGGCACCTGCCTCCACACTCAACCATCTCAAACCGCTTAAAGCAAGAATGTTTAACTGCTCAAGCTTCGGAAAGCTTCCAGCCTTGAAACACAAAACCTCTCCTTGGTATGCCTGATTCAGATCCATTGTTTGCAAATTTGGCAAATGCTGAAGGGATTCAAGTGGATCATCAATTAACTCGCTCCAGAGCAACTCTATTGAGGTCAAGCCTTGTAAAGAACATATAAATTTGGGTACCTTTTCTAAACGGCCCCTCAAGCATAACATTTGAAGATTTTCAAGACTTGAACTCAAGGAGCTTTTCATGTAATTTAGATCAATTACCTCATCCTTATGTGATACTTGAACATATAATTGCTCAAGATTGGAGAGCCTCCCAAGAGAGGAGCAGAGCTCCTTTCCATTTTCTCTTCTTAGACTTGTAATGCCCAGCCTCTTCAATTGCTTAAGCTCTCCTATCTCTCTCATCATTGATGCATCATTCGCTTCTATGTAAAATAACCACTCCAGAGAAAGAAGCCTCCCAATGTTGTTTGGAGCTTTAAATCCGTTAAAGCCGTTGATGTCGTATTCATACGTAACATGTTGAAATGCATATGCCACGAGATGGAGGAGTCCTCTTATATGTAGGATCTCCTCAGGTAACTCACTTACAGCAGTGAAAGATAGATCCAGATACTCCAGATTCCGGAGACGTCCAATGGACTTTGGAATGATTTTAACTCTTGTGTGTTTTAAGCTCAAAAACTTGAGATGATACAGCTTGAAGATTTCATCTGGCATTTCCTCCAATTCTGCACCTTCCAAATCTAATACCTTCAGTAGCCTACAACCACCACGTAAGAGATTGGACAGCAAGGATTTGGACGAAGGTTCCGATGATTTGAAGGTTACCAAAGAGCGCAGATACTTTAAACAAATGCTTCGATGTGTGTGGCCAGTGAAATCATGAATCACTAGGCGTCGAACCTTCTTAGGCCAACTTGTCAGTTCTCCCGTGGCTGTGGTTGCAAAATGTTGTTTGCTTGACTTGGAGACAATAATTTCTCGGAAAAGGTCATGGATATGATAGGCCCTGGTGCTGCTATCATAAGAATCATCTCTCAGTTGGATTAAGCTTCTATTGGTAAGCTCACTAAGGCAGGCTCGAGCCACTTCATATTGACTCATCCTCGTCCTCCCTTGTATGAATCCTTCTGCAATCCATAATCGAATTAATCGCGCCTCTTCTATTTGATAATCCTCAGGGAAAATACTTGCATACAAAAAACAGGTCCTGAGATGGTGTGGCAGATCATGATAACTAAGAGAGAGTATTTTTCCAACTCTATCCAGCTTATCACTACAATCCAGTAGGCTACGTTCAACTATCTTCCATTCATCTACTTTGCTTTTGTCCTTCAAAGCCAAAACTCCGCCAATTGCAACAATGGCAAGTGGTAATCCCTCACATTTTCTCAATATGCGTTGTGCAACATCTTTTAGATAGTCAGGGCAGCTACTGTTCTTGAATGTCTTCTTACAGAACAGATTCCAAGACGCTTCAGATGACAAGGGCTGCATTCTGTGGACATAGCTATGAAATTCTACATCAGAGGCATAAGCTACATCAGCTATTCGTGTAGTGAGCATTACGCGACTACCACAACAACCTTCAGGTAATGCAAATTTGATGACATCCCAGAATCTCACATCCCAGACATCATCAAACACTATTAGATACCTCTTTACTCTGAGGAAATCTTTGACAATTGCTTTCAGCCTATCCGTATTATTCATGGAGGCAGCTTCTTGAGGAACAGGTTTCCCTGTTCCTTGGTATAATTGTTGAATCAAGTCTTTGAGAAACTCCTCCATATAACAGGTTTGTGAGACAGTTGCCCAGGCAAGGATCTCGAACTGTCTTTTGACATTTGCATCTTCTTGGACCTTTTTCACCAGTGTAGTTTTTCCAATCCCTCCCATGCCTAAAACTGAAACAACTTTGAGCTGAGAACAGCCGTCAAGGAGTTGACAAATGAGTTGCTGCTTGGGGGAGTCAATGCCCACCAACTTAGCTTCTTCCACAAGAAGGGCCTCATCTCTATTACATTGCCACGAATTGTTCCCAGGATCAGAAGCTGAGACGTTGCCATAGGTACCATATTCAGATTGGTATCTCTTGTGACCTTCAGAAATACCCGTGATTCGGGACTTCATGCTTTGTACCTCCAAAGCAATCCTATGGCGAGCTTGCAAGTTCCCTACTGAGGTGATTATCTTTCGAGCATGACCACGAAACCCATGTCCGTGATTGCAACCAAACCGGAGCATAAATTCTTCAACAATGTCCTGAACATCGTAAGCAACGTCCTGCACTTGCATAACCCACTCTTCAAGTCTTGGATCATCTTGTTCTTTAGCTTCTGCAAATTTTAAGAAAGCTTTCATATGCCCCAGTTCATCCATGATGAGCTGGATCTCTTGTGCAAGCCCGCCCAATAATTTTGCCTCGTCTCGGAGCAAAACTGAGAGCTGATTTAACACCAAGGACACAATGTGCACTGTCATTCTCGATCCCCTCTTCCCTTGTTGCCGCACAGAATGCTTAGAGGCAGTTTCTAGTTCGTTGACCAGAATGCTAATTGATGAAGGAAGTTGATGATGCAGATGAAACCGAAATATGATAAGAAAGGAAAAAAAAAATGTAGAAGAAGTAAGAGGCCAAGTTGGTTGTCCATTATCGAGGCTGGCAAACCATTTGACTTTGTAACTAAGCACAACTATACATATTTAATGTGGGAGATTTCCTTTTACATTACCACTCGGCTGCTTGACCCAATCATCCGGGTAATATAATAAGCAGCGCCCCTCAATTTCCAGCTAGTACTTCCACAAGGTCCAGAACTCTCACACGCACAGCAGCAAAAACCAGCCTCTAGTCCATGGAAGCAACTGTTTCTTCTGCCATAGTTTCTCATATTTTTCAGAAAGCATACGGCAGTATATAATTCCACAGAGGCTCATCCAAACTTATAGAGGAACTCGACGGCACAGCAAGAGTTTTTTAATGTAAAATTCTCAAAACTCTTGATAATCAGAACTGGTTCTACTAGGACCTGCTTTGAGCCATTATATTGTTAGTAAATGGAACCTTGCCCATTTACATTGAAAAGAAATGAGATTGATTCCGCTATTTAGGAAATTCAAGGAAGAATGCGCATTAGTTGAATCAACAATTAAAGGTCATCCACAATTCAGATGATTCCCAGAAAAGTTGAACACCAAAAAGCACAAAGCATAAATTGAGAATGATCATCCGGAGTTCGAATGATACGCAAGCAGAAGTGGTGGAAGCTTAACGATACGCTGCGAAAATGTAGTGGAAAGTTTCATTCAGTTTTTCTAAGTTCCAAAGTTTTATTTCAAGGATGTAGAGAGGGATGATGGGTAAAAAGAAAAGGAAAAGAGAGGATACTATTTCGAAAAAAAAAAAGGGTTATTCCAACAAGGTCCGAGAACTTTACACTATTTCCACCATTGCAGCGACCATTTTGTCCATTGTTTCTGAAATTTCCAGCATACAGTACATGGGCTCATGCAGCACCAACATAAAACTGATAGCAGAGCTTTTTACTGGTCTTGTATTGCTACTTTCTATTAGCCATTGCCATAGGTGGCAAACGTATCAAAGCTTATTCATCACTGAGCGTACAGCATGGGAATATGGGATGATTGAAATAGGAGGGAAAGGAAGAGAGGGTTCATGATTCACCGTTAGCTTAAAAATCTTCAAAATAAAAGCAGAAAAGTAAGCAGAAGTGTGCGAGTTAAAACTGCTAAAAGGCCAAAAACTCGAAAGTACGAAAGGCCATTGTATCGAAATCAAGAAGTATGAATTTTCACACTAGAATCCATGTTAACCTCATCATCGTGGATTATAAGTACAGATTATAAGATCAAATCAAAACCCAGTGAGCCTAAAATCCATCTCAACGTGCAGGGAGGACCTTCTTGACAATCTCATCACTAAGAGCAGCAATCTGAGAATCAAGAGCCTTAATGGTGTCTTCTTTTTGCTTTTCCAAACTAGCCAAGGCTTCTTGCAACTCAGCTTCCACTTTCTTTCTCCCCTCAGCCAACTTCTGCTCCACTTCCAGCTGAGTCTCCTTCTTCATCTTGTTCAGGGTAGCCGATATCTCAGCCCTGGCAGCTCGCATGATGGCGGCGGCTTGGGCTTCAAGCTGTTTCACCTCCTCAGAAGTGTCCTTGACACTGCTCAGCTTCTCCCTGATGGCTGCATCCCTTTCGTCCATGAATTTGCCTAATGGGGTGAAGTAAATCTTGTCAAGGGCGACCATGAGGAGCAAGAACTCCGCTGCTATGATGGGGAGCGTTAAGTTGAAGTCGAAAAGCGCGGCCTTTTCGATTTCCGCAGCTAGGGAAGGGGGTGCCACGGCCAGGGAGGCTGCAAGAATTACAGAAATGGAGTTCGGAAGGGACAGGAGTTGGTGAGGCTTGGGGACATTGGAGAGGGGTAGTTTAGGGAAAGATAGTTGAACTGGGGAGAGCTTGAGTTTAGGGGTGGGGGGAATGGTTGAAGAGCAAGTGATTAGGGCTTTGGAGGAGGCCATGAGCATGTTGGCCATGGCAGCTCTGCTTCGCCTTCTTCCTCTTCTGTTAGTTGCAGTATTTTGTGTTGCGTGCTGGTTCTCGGTCTCTGCTATGGTGGTGGGTTGGGCTATTTGGATTTTTTTTTTTCCCCTTATTTTTCAGTAATTTTTCTTGGTGGGCATTGAGAAGGGGAAGAGGGAGATCTCAAAAAGGCTATCTCATTCTATGCCACACAATTTGATGAGACTCTCATGGAAAATCAAAAGGAGACGTGCTCTCACGCGCTCTCCCCTGTTAAGGCAAATTGGTTGGCATCCTCATTACTGTTCTAGCCAGAAAGAACAAGCTCAAAAAAAAAAGAGTAGGAAATGGTCTTCACATTCTCCACCCCTCAATTCAACTCAAGAACGGTTTTAGGGATCAATTGCAAAATGCAGCGCACTCTCTCTCGGCTTCTTGCCTGTTTTCCAGCAGGTGCTTCGAACAGATGGATGGAACAAAATAGCACTCTCTCTCGGCTTCTTGCCTGTTTTCCAGCAGGTGCTTCGAACAGATGGATGGAACAAAATATGTACAAGCAGGCAAATCAAATTAAGGTCGACTTAAAAAGCATTTTCAGTTCTAATATCTGCAACCATTTCCATTTCTCCAATTTAGAGCAGCCAGAAAGTCTCCTGAAATGGTGTAATAAAATCAAAAGCAGAACCAAATGTCTACAATATGATTGTGAAGTGAAAACAAAGATTACTGGAAACCAAGTCAGGTTAATCCTTGGTGCTTCTGCACTTCCCCCAACACTTGATTGCATGACTCGGCTTACTTGCCAGAGAGTACGTTGGACTATTCCTAATTTAGTCCACGCCCCTTGAGGTAGCCGATCAAATTATAGTCGTGCAGCTCTGTTGCGCAAAAAACAAAGAAAAAAGAAAGAAAAGGATTGCTTCAGTTGCACTACAACAACATGGCCAAAATGCAATTCCTAATTCATTGCTCTGTGTCCTAACTCAGATTAGCTTCTTCGACTTGCCGCAGGCTGAGAGAAAATGGACCATCAACAGAAGAACGGCACCGGAATGAAGAGAACCCTACAGTTATCAAGCCCAATATTCAATTCAGCAATCACTTCAGAGGAAGAAGCTGTGATACAAAGAGATGCCAAACTTGAATCATGATATTCGCTTTGCGTCGTTGACATCACTTATAACATCTTGGACGATGTTGACCCAGCCTCCATGATAATTAAATTCTATCACCTTCTCAGACATGTGAGTCAAGACATGTTCTTTATAAGGTGAGATGATAGGACTTTTATTTACTGGAGCTCCACCAGTTTGATATGAATGTGTTGCTCCTGATGTTGAAGATTCCAGAGACACATAGACATCTGTTACTGTGCCTTCTGAGTCTCATGTTCAGAATCATACTCATCAATGTAAGCCCCTGAATCTCCCAAACTTCCTAAAGAACTGAACGACAATCTTGATACAACACTGTTCTCTTCCACTCTCACATATGAACTTGGAAGCTTACGGTATGAGAACCACCCTTTAAACAAATGGAGCAACTTGTATCGGCAATTCGTGAAAAGTCCACTATCCTTGTCATCATCACCATAAACACCTTCTTGGTCCTCGAGATCCCTTTCATTACAACTGATGTCCTGTTCACTATACAATTGTCTGTCTTTGAAGTCTTCTGATCTGCATGACGCACGTTGCACCAGAAAAATCAATCCAGCTTGTAACCATAATGGTTTAAATAGAAAATTTATCAAATGCTGGAATACTTTAAAAAAACACACACACACCACACTCAAAATCATAATAAGAAACTAGTGTACCATTTGCTCTGGATGCTCCCAACCTGATGATGGGAAAAAGGAAAAAAGAACAAAAGGTTCCTCTGAGGTCGGTTTGATATGAACGTTTTCTGTCATTTCAAAGGTGAAGATTTAATTGAATTCCACAATTACATGGATCTGGAAGGGTAAACAACAATGATGTTGTATACACACTAGAGGCTAAACACATCATCTAGAAAAGGTTTAGGTTGTCCCAATGACAGTATCCAGATATGAACAGTTTACACTGCTGGTCAGCAGGCTGAAAATTGCACCTGAGATTCACTCCAGAATTTCACAAAGTACAATTGAACAAAGGAAGCATCAAGATTTCCTCTCCTATGAATTACTACAAGTTTACTACCAATAATCACTGCCAGGTTGTAAATTTTATTTTTACAAGAAAATAGACTAATTTGAGTTAAACAACATTTTCAAGGATGAGAACGGATGCTCTCATGTATGAATGCTTATAGACAAAAACATGAAATTGAAAAATGGATCAGCGCCTAGATGTACTTGTAGGCACCCCCAATTGGGAAAGAAGGTAATATATATATATATATATATATATATATATATATATATATATATATATATATATATGCTCAACTGCATCCATGCTGTTGAAAAAAATAGAAGCCCATATAAATACTTACACACTGGGTTCATCCAAATCAGGATCCTCCTTTTTTGATCTTTCCTTCACCATATTGTAGCTAATTGAGAGATGCCGGACAAACTGAAGCTGCAGTTACAAATTGTGCATTTAATTCATCATAAGATATGTGTAAACTAGTCATTAACTAAAGCATCTTTCCAGTCAAAACAGAAATACAGCATATGCCTAAAGTCAGGAGAAGATATAAATACACTTTGGAGTAGACAAAACAAAGGTGAACACTCTGCACAAATTGCTGTGTTTAGGTCCAAACAAACCACTAGAAGGTAATAGTTTTTTCACAAAAAGTTGTTGCTCGAAAATTAAATTTCTCACTTCATGCAGAAAAAAAAGAAAATTTTCATTTTATTTCATAGTCATAAGGAGTATGCTCTGATTTGTCTCTATGGTGCAGCAGATAAAATTCATCCAATGGTTAAATGCCAAAAAGGATTCTATACATTTGTCAACATATTGAGAGCATTTTGTTTTAGATACAAAAGGCAACATTCGATGGGTTGAAAAACTTCTAGGCACTTGCATGAACCCTTTGATAAAAAGTATGAGCAGGCTTTACAAATAAATATATTAGGTTAAAGTCTTGCTTTACTTAAACCAATTAAATATATTAGGCTGAGATCTCAGGTTTGAAGCCTTTGTTATCATTCCCCACTGTCAAAAACTTTTCCAGCATATCCTGCCAGATATGATCTCCTTCCAAGCCTCTAATATCCACTTAAGGTTCCAAATGAAAAGAAAAAGAGCATGCGACAGAGACTGAAATGGGGCTGGAAGCTTTCAATGCTTCTTGACTTTCAGTGTCCCTTATTATAGGCATATTAGATCAACCTTTCACCTGTGATCCTCCCTAAAGCACTACACTCAAACGGACAAACATGCACACTAATTCCATAATCTGGCTACAGTCTATCTTGGAATACATATATGCATCCCTGTCAAAACTCAAAATACATCTTCAGAAGCGAGGGGGGATTGATCAATTTCCGTGCGAGAGAGAGGGACAGAGAGTGAGAGAGAGAGAGAGAGGAAAACCTTGTCACCATCCTTGATTCCGTAAATCCCAATATCATCAGTATCAGTAAGTAGTTTCTGGCCATCATAGGTCAAGCAAAAATGTCCCCATACAAAAGGCCTGAAAATCATATTAGAACAGTACAGTTAGCCACAAGAATTTATTGGACAAGTCAATTAACTACCCCACGAAAAAATAGAACTGCAAACTAAGCTCCAAGAAACACAAGTCAAAAGCATCAGAAAGCTCAACACAGGCAAGCTCCAACCAAGTTATTTGACATTAATCAACAAAACAAGCACTCCAAAGTTGATTGAGATTAAAAAAAAAAATCACAGAATGAATCAGGAAACGCATGTTAATGGAGATGGAACTTCTCCTGAAGATAGAATTTTCCCTCTACAGTTCATATAACAAGAAGGAATTCCAGGGGACTACCAAATAGGAGCCAGATCATAAAAAATTCCAATGGCTAACAATTCCAAAAATTAGCTGGTGCCTGTGGCATTGCAGCAAAACATGTACTACTAACTAGCTAGATATGCCAAAGTTTTCAACGAAATTGCCACTTTAGCATCCCCACCAACCAAAAAAAAAAAGGAATCAGTTTTAGAATCTCATTAACTGCAAAGCATTCAACAGCCCAGATCTTCATAATGGTGTATCTACATCAACTACACCCCTACAGAAGGTGCAGCAGAGGAAGATTAATTCCCATTTCCCATGACGAACAGCAAGTGTTTTAGAGATATTCGTCCTAGTTATATATATTGTACAACTAAATAGTTTCAAAAAGCTAGAAATGCAGAATACCAAAAGGCGTCCTGAAACCAAACCATCAAAAACACTAGAAATAGAATGTGCATAGTACCATGAGATCTTCTTTGGCCCCCTATTCGGCAAATGACTAAATACCGACTCCACCGCCTGTTTAAGCTGCGCCACTGTCGCCGTTTTCGCCACTTCAATATCTACACAATCCAAACCCAAATTTAACCAAAAACCCACGAAAATTGCAAAATGAAAAACACAGAGAAACACGCACAACACCTACAGATTATGAGAGGAGCAAAAAGGGTAAACGGAAATCGTACCAAATGAGGAGCCATCCAATTTGATGACAGTTAGTTTGAGGGGCTTCTGGGGAATCTTACTGTAAGAAAAGCTTTTGCGAGAACGGGAATCAGTGATCAAGTAGGGAATCGGGCATGATAACGACCCACTCCTCTGGAATGAAATTATAGGGCTATAATTTCCCTCCTCCGGCTGCTCAAACATCGGCATATGCTCCAACAGAAAATGGAAAGCAACAATGGTTTGCGATCACCCTATTTCCTTCGACGTCCTGATAAGAAATGCAAAAGGAAAATGGGTTTCGGATCGCCACCACCGTTCATTTCATTTTATACCATAAAAATGCCTTCCAAAGATTTGCATCCCTTTTTCTTTTCCGTTTGAGATTCTTTGATGAAAATTTAGGTTTAGGATATGAATGGCTTTGGATGGGGGATTTAGCATCTCAGCAAGAGAGAGAGAAAAGGAACCCAAATTTTGCTTTGTTCTCTCCCTTTCTCGCCTTTTTCTGGCGTGGGTTTGCGGGGTTTTGGATGGAGAGGGACGGAGGCTGAGAGAGGGAGGGAGACTTTGGCGGTTATTTTGGTTGGGGAATGGGGAGGGCATTTCACTGTATCCACCACGCGCCCACTCACGGCGCGTTTCACCAGTTTGTCTAGACTTTTGGCCTTTGACCAATACATTCCTTTTTTTTTTTGGGCCATTTTCGTGGTGATGAGAAAATCGGATTGTCAAATTTATTTCAAGAAAATTTTCAGCCGAGGGAGGCATTGGTTTTGCTTTTATTAATTCAAATGGAGTTCAATAAGTTTCTCTAATTTGAAATTCATTTTCAAATCAAACACAAAATCTGAAAAGAATGAAATTTTAAGAATCACAAATTGAAATTATAACATACAAATCACAATCGAAGAGGCGAAATGATACATTATGGAACAAATTATGAATTATTGTTATACGAAATGATTTCCCCAATGAATTCATTAAACCAATTTGTGGAAGAAAAAATGGCCTAATTTATTGTTTCCTCCCCTATCACCGAAATATTAATCTTTGTTTGGACTATATTTTTTTGAATTTTTTATTAAAAAAAATTACTATAATAATTTAATATATATAAAATAAAAAAGTGATTAAAAAATATATTCGCGAAAAACGTAACAAACAATTTTTTCTTGAAAAATTGCTGTCCAAACAAGGATGACTAAACAAAATATATGCTTGTCTGCTGTCTGCAATGGGATAAATGGCACCAGTTTCCCAAATGGCAATTCATGCTCTTCGCCATCTGCTACAGAACAACACTAGTTCAAGGAAAGAGTAGCATTGCGTGTACCCTAATAATCACCTTCAAACATCACAATCGAATCCTGACTTCTGTTTCCTGTAAATATATTATGGTACATTGACAATTGTTGACCATGTTTCCGGCCAAATTATACACTAGGCCTGAGATTACAGTTGGAGGCAAAGAATAATTCCATCCTTTACAAAAGATAAAAAAGCATGGTCTCATCAGGGGTGATCACTGCAAAATCTACTATGATGACTGCATCTACTTCCAGGGCTTAATCCATCCGTAATAACTACAATTGAGCAATTGTGTTGAGACAAAGTCATTTGAGGTCCGAACATCTTCTTCATGGTACAAAATTCCCTAGCCCATGCAAGTGGCTACTTTTCAACGACCCATCACCGTTGATTAAGAAATGGGGCAAAAGCCAAAACTAAATTCTCTATTACCAGAAAACCTACACCGGCATCTTCAGCTGTCACTTCCCAATGAGCTTATAATACGCATATAAACCAGACCCGAAGAATCCAATAAGTTGCCCAATAACATTCAACTGCAAAAGCAAGCAGGACTCTTTTCAGCTTTTTATTCAGGGGAACAGGAAAATGCGTTTACAGATCCGTGGCTAATGAAAAGACAGTTAACTAGAGAACCGATACTCACGATGTCAAATGGAAGCCCACCAAATATTATCCACCCTAGTGTAATAGTAAAAAGGTCCTACAGAAGCAGAAAGCGCAAAACAAGGATATATGAAAATAAGTTTACAAGGTATTAAGAGAGCATATATGATGATGCATCCAATACCCAAAAGATGATTTAAACAAACCTTCAAATTGCCACAGATAGTCTGCGTGAGTGCTGAATTGAGAGTCGTGTTCAGGAAAATGCTATAATTCAAGAAGAAAGCAAGTATGCAGGAAAGTAGCAATACAACCTGCCATTTTCGGAAATAAAGTCAGGAAGGCCTACAAACTGTAAGCTGACCAAATTAAAGGACAAGAAATGTAGGCATTCACCAAAAGAGCAGCACACAAGTTACGACCCCCAACAATACATCCATAAGTCATTCTTAAGCTGATAAGATATTCAAATGATATTCAGCAAGCAAGCAACCAGCAACTTAATGAAAAGAGAGGCAGATGTTTTCATAGGCACATGAGATTCATAACTTGAAGACCAATGCCTTGTGAATTACACCCTTTTGGAGGTATTCAGAATTCTACAAAACAGCAAATCCAGAAATCAAAACAAAAGAATGTCGATAATTTCAGTATCCAAGGAACTTGGCATCAATCCTTTCTCAAAGATACATGCTAAAGGAAAAGGCAATTCGTTATTTACCGTTTCAAATAACAAACAGCAGAAGATAAATTCTATGATTACAGAAAAAGGCAACAGAAGACATACAAATATTAGTGACTTTCTGAGAGATGAAGTTGTATGAACATTGGATTTACCAGGAACCCAGGAGAAAGCAAAGAAGAAAAATTCATTGTCATCTCCAAGTCACCTCGAATAAATGTCCATATCAATAACACAGGTCCACAAAGGATTCCTACGATTAGATTAATACAGAGAATTACAAGTCAACTGATCTGAAATCCAATGAGGACAAGCAAAGCGTGGAAAAGAGAGAGGTCAATTCTGCTTACCATTGCACCACATGAGACCGAAACTGTTGAGGCCACTAGATTTTCCTGGGCAAGAAAAAATATCAGCAAGGACAAAGAAAGAATGGAGTAGCAAAGGAAAAATGGAAATTTGAAGCAGAATTTTACCAACGCGTGCTATGGTTGCTAAATATATTGCCGTGGTGATGTTGGATAGGAAAACAACAAGATACCCATAGTAGTCAAAGGACAAGTCCCGAGCTCCCGCAATAAAAGCACCAAGTACAATCAATGCCACACTGACAAAACCTTGATTATTCTTTTTGTTAAATGGTATTTAGAATTGCAACATGAAGAAATTACATCCACTAGTGAGAAGCTAATGCATATTCAAAGGCTAAATTTAAGAGAACTAAAGCTACCATATTACACTTCAGTTGCCTCTCCAAAACTGCATACAAAAACAAAAGCTCTTTGCTATGAGGCCATATGACCCATAGCAATGCCAGATCAACCAAGAAAATTCAGACTCATTTGAATCTGTGCAGAACTATTTTGGAAATATATCACTTAAATGTTTTTCAATGACAAGAATATGGAAGCAACAACGAGGCTCCACAACCTACCTGGCTTCCAGAAGCCTAAAAAATGTGTTCCAAAATAAATACAGCAAATATTCACTTTTGACGTGATTTGGGAGCAAGAAAAAGCATGCAAAAATAACTTAAAATCAGCACCCCAGGATCTATTTTGTTATGCCAGCATTACTGCTTTAGAACCAAAATAAACCAATATTACAAAATGATGCGTTTCGTTCAGAAAAAAACATGCTTTTCAGTTCCCTTTTACAAGAAAACATTGATTAGAGGTCTTAAAAGAGCACAATTAATTTCCCAAAGAAAATTTCCTATTTAAATGATACTGCCAAATAAAAAATTATAACCAGCAATGCCTCGACAATAAAACATGCGACTTCAACGAAAAATATAAAATGCAGCGGAATGACACAGCGAAACACTATTTCAAAAGAATGCTTACCTTCCAAGAATTGGAGGGGTGTACTTCTGCCTTGCAAGGATATACTCCACAATCATTGTAAATACAACGGTTGTTCTCCTTAAGGTTGTATACATGGGAACATTTACTCCCCGAACAGATTCCATAGTAGCTAGCTTTCAAGGAGAACCAGAAGATTACAAAATCATTACTTGAGGTAAGAAAATATATCAAACAGAACAGCAAATTTAATAGGTAACGCAAATACCATGTAAAGCAAATAGGTCACCGCAACTGGTGAGGTGTTGATCAGAGTCCTTAATGGCACCATACTTTTAAAAGTATCAGCCATTGCAGCCTCACCCGCATGAAATGAAATGAGTTTCCAGCGTCGTAATGCATAAAGGAAGCAACATGAACATATCATCTACAACAAAGAAACATCGATGTAACATGTATGCAATCAGTGAAATCCAGATCGATGAGAGGCCAACTGAGAATGGAAGCCAGGGTAGACAGCAATAAGACAAATAGGAAAAAAGAGCACAAAGTGACCAAAACTATACAAACATCATCCTCAAAGGGGCATAAAAAGTGCTGAAAGCCATGGTTTATCATCACCTAATCTGCACCATCTTGCATTATGAAAACATCCACAAAGACTATAGCGCAAATTGTTAGTATGAAAAAGTTCAGTAGACCAAGAGAGTCAAGGGTGCAAAAGACCTTAAACACCCTCGTTTACTAGGTTTTGGAGCCAATGCAAATGTGTGAAATTATTTTGCAAAGGCTTCTTCCTATTTATATTGTCAGAAAATATTGACTACAGGTAAACCATCATTTTAACTTTTCAGATCCTGGATGATACTTACATCAAATTACAAAGCAGATGAAATATTGGATCCAAGTTTGGAGGTACTCCATCCAACAATTGCACCAAAACATCTTTTCCTTTTTTCAAAAACAACTCATGGTTACAGATCCACCTTTCAGGCACCATGGAGCTAAGAGTTCGTTTAGAAACTTTCATCCAACCAGAGATGGGAAAGGATGTCAATAAATTTATTTTCTCATGCAGGGCCCATTGTGCAATGATCTCTTATTAAAAATGCCAACTAAATGGTCATAGTCCACAGGAAATACAAGACCACTGCTGAGATACTGTCAAACCTTCTCAACTCTACAAAAACTTTTGAGAATCAAAGGAAAAGAGTATTTTTCTTGTATTGAAAAAGGAATTGAGAAAATGAGGTTTTCACAATACATAGAAAACTAACTAGCTACAAGATTATCACAATGGCAATTAAGATCAGCAAATGAAATTTCTAAAGGAAACCCAAGAGAAGATTTCGAATCAAATCTGAGGCCAGAAATTGCTGATAAATGGTTGGCAATATCTACCTGACAAAGAGTGATGACATTAGCACAGGGGAAGTTATATGAAGAAAGAGCTGCTTTGTTGAACAATACCAAGAGCACTGCAAAAGTGAGCAGATCAAGTGAATGCTGACGAGTGAAAAGCAAACCTGCTAGCTTCTAGCTAAATTACTTTTACATACTAAAGCATTAGGAAGTAGATGACTAGCTCAACTAAAAGCACTTACGAAGTCAACTCTGTAACAAAAATACATGCTAAAACAAAAATCGCATCCCTCCCTTGCCCCACATTATGTATTTAATAAAGTGAGGAACCTCTTCCGACAATTTTAATCCGCCGCTTAATGCATTTTAACACACCATAGGACAAC